CGTGAGCTGCCCGACAGCCCCCTCAGGGGGGCCGCCCTGCCTGCGAGCCCGCCTGCCTCATCGCTAAAGCACAGCTGGAAAAAAGGATTCTGAAAGGCACTGCTTTTAAGCAGCCATTAACAGCAAAACAAAAAAACAAAACAAAACAAAACGTGGCCAATATTAATTCACTTTATAAGGTCCTTTTATGTGGAATACGCAGAATAACACGCAGTGAAAACAAGGTCTTCCTTGCACATTTAAATCCTTTCTGTGTTCTTCTGGGGCTTCTCCCCTTTGGAAAATGAAGAATTAAGCTTAACATTAAAAAACTTCTAGTCTCTTTGTCGCTTCAGAATAAATAGCTCACTCTGCTAATAAGGAAACACAAAACCATGCATATAACACTACTTAAGATTATGAAGTAGGGAAACAATACTGAAATAGATGAACTCCAAAGTTAGAAAACTGGTTGAAGTCCAGGTTTCATGCTAACAAACGCAAACTAAATGTCGGATCTACAGCACTCGATTTCTCTGTCAAACTGCGCGTGAAAGTGAATGGTAGTTACAGCTACCAGCCCTACACTGCACAGGTACAGCCAGTAAGTTTGGGTCCAAACCTCAAGGAAAAAAAGCTGGAGCTTCAGCCATTATAGTAGCAGAAATAAAGTATATTTAAATGTTTACATGCATCTCTGAACAAGTTCTTTTTTTTGTTGTTGTTTTTTAATTATAAGAACTATTTTTTAAAAAAATACAGCAGCTCAGCTTCCCAGATCCCATTACAAAACTGTGGGGACAAGGAGCCCAATTACCTATGGAATTCTCACATGGGTCTTAGTTGGCACTTGGTTTCTAATCCTGCAGGGGCCTGCTTTACTTATTTCACCTGACCGGTCAGAGCTTCCCACCATCCATTCATTCCACCACTTCTGTTTGAGCTCCGTCACGGATTTTGCTGAGCTAACGCCCGGCGGCAGCCTGCTGCAGATGGCTTAAGCCAGCGTTTCCACCCGAGAGCCGTGACCAGCAGGCCGCTTCAGCAGCACGGGTCGTGGGCAGCACGGCAGCACCAGTGAAAGGAAGATGTTACCGGCCTGCTGGTGCTGCGTCTTGGCCAGTAGGAAATGCCAGTGCAGCTCTGTTCCAGGGAAGTGAACCACGGTTTGCCACATTCTGCACAAGTGAACCCAACTAGACAAGGGAGCATCTATGAAAAAATAGAAACCTCAGGGAAAATCTGTCTGTAAGGTCCAGTCAGAAAGAGATACATCATGAGAAACGGGTGGTCACAAATTTCTCAAATACGATTTAAAACTCAGTGCTGTCTATCCTTTCAAATACGCCTTTCAAACGAAGTTACCATTTCAAAAGTTATGCTATTAAATTACAATTCCTACATCTGTTAATAACTAAAACATTTAAGCAAATTAACTAAGCTACAGTTCTGCCTACAGTTATGACAATATATAGTGAAAGTCGGGTTTGAACTGAACATCAATATATAGCACTTTTGTTGTAGTACTCCATATTGGACAACAGTTACACATGAAAGAAGGAAAATGTATAATCGGCATGCTAGGCGCAGTATGCATTTAGAAAAGCAAAATATATATATTATATCCAGAAGCAATGTTCATTTGCTCTTAACTGTCCTGGGGGAAAAACGTTCTTGCGGTGAGGAATGCTGTCGTAAAGTTCAGATATCCAGATTTTCTACGGGACTTTATGTCTGTTAGACTGTTGGAGTCATAACAAGTATCTGTTTGGGAGCACTTCACGTCTACTTTAGGCTTCCAGCTGAGATGGCCTGAACTGTACTCTGAAGGCAGGAGCCCATGCTCTTTGGAGAGGCTAAAGAGAGGGAGGTGTAGCTGCAGACCGTTCAGGGCACCTGCACCTTCAGTGCCACAAACTGCTCTTTCCAAGCGTCTCAGGACGCCTAGATGCCCAAGTTAAATACCTGGAGTTAAGCAGCGTGAAGTGCGGTCCATCTAACAGCACTCATCTTTCATTTTAAAAGTGAAGAAATATTTGTAAGGATTTATCTAATTGCAGGTACTTTGCTAACACAAGTGTCATTTCAAAAAAGGTTTTGTCCCGATAATTTCATTTTTATGTACCCTACTCTCCACCTTGACCATAGGGAAGCTAGGCAGTAGGGTGCCTTAAACTGTTTGTAAAATAAGCCTAAGAAGGCTTTAAGTCAAGTCCTCCTCTCCCAAAAACCTAAACTATTGTTCCAGGTATAAAATAATTTAATTTTCTTTAGCCACTCTGGAACCACCTCGAGCCTTCACAACGACACACGCATCTTTGGTTACCAGACGTACACTCTTCTGCCACTCCATCACAGGACCTGCTGTTTTCAACTACTAATGGTGTGCAACCAGGAGGTATGCGAGGTATTTTCTATCCTCGCTTGAGGATTACAAGGGCATGGTCTCCACTCTTACTTGGGGATTAAGGTACTGAATAAATTCATTGTTTTTCTGTGTACTTCCTACGTGGTTTTAGTCTTCTGCAATCCCTACAGGCAATTAGCTCAGCAGCTCAGACAGGGGAGAGAGAAAAATCCAACACTTATGACCACAAAGCTCCTACTGGGCAAGTATTGTACAACCAAACAGCGAGACCCCTTTTCTCCAACTTATAACATGATTATATTTACTTTGTCTGGAAAGAGATTTCCCATAAACAAATGGAAAATATAAAAGGCAGTCTTCTACACAGACTTCAGTTGCAGTGTGCTGTGGTGTGAATTTACAGCACGCTGGCTGTTCTGTACTAACTCCTTACAGGGACAATAAACACTTGACACACACATAACACAGAAATAAGCATATACCAAATAAGCTTTACTTCTCTTTCTATTT